AGGTGTGCAGAGAACAAGAGAAGAGTAATGGATACTGAATTTGAATAACTGTGAAAACACCAGCTGAGAGGTGGCTTTAACTTGCCAGGCTCTAGAGTTTAAATCTGATAAAATAGGTAACTGGGGGAAAAAACAGGGTTTTGGAGCAGGGAAACAACACAATGAAAATAGTGTTTGTAAAAGAATTTTCTGCTTACTAAATGGACTGGTCTGAGAGCAGAGACTAGAGGCAGGCCGACTAAGCATAAGGCTAAGTCATATTGGGCCCGTTTAGTGATGGAGAGATGTCATGAGGCATGAAGAAAGGCCAGCAGGGCTCAGTGCCTGGCAGGACATGTGTGGTCAGGAGCCAGGAGTTAGTCCATGGGACGTCCTTCCACTGGCTGCCATGAGAACTGTCTCTCTCTGACTGAGGATGATGCTGAGCTGTATTAAACGTATCCTATAGAGAATTACACCCAAGAGACTCAGGAAAAAGCAAGAGTTATATTTCAGGATAATGACAGATCAGTGCTATGTGAATCTGTGTGAGAAAGTACATCCAAACGCCACCCAGGTACACATGGAGATGACTTTTATCCGAGGTGTCTAAGCCTGTTCGGGCCACAACACATATCACAGCCTGAGCGGCATATAAATCATATACATTTATTTCTCACAGTCCTGGAGGCTGGAAGTCCAAGATCAAGGCACCAGCACGATAGTGCTGTGGTGAAGGCCCTCTTCTGGGCTGCAGACTTCCCGTGTATCTGGATGGCAGAAAGGACAAGAGCTCCTTCTGGAGCCTCTTTTATAAAGGGCACAAAACCCATTCATGAAGGCTCTGCCTCATGACCCAGTCACTCCAAAGGCCCCACCTCCTGACACCATCACACTGGGAGTTAGGGTTCCAACAAATGAATTGGAGGGAAGGGGGAATGACCACTCGGACCACTGCACCAGGTTGTTGAAGAGAGAGACCTGTGTGTGGAGGATACGCCAGTGCTCAGTGATCACATGGTCCTGACGAGGGTCATGCCCCCTGAACTCCTCTGAGTAGCTGGAGCCCACACACACTTCCTCAGTCCACACTGAGTGACGGCAGTGGACACTGAACAGGCTGGAGAAGACAACGAGAAGGTCTTGATACTGCAGCTTCTCTCCTGGTGCCGCTGCCATCCCTCTGCGTCCGTCCTCCTCTAACAGGTGTGCTCTCACTGTCTCTTGAACTTTTGATCTCCTCCCTTCTCTAATTGCCTGAAGACTTTCCATGGCTTCCAGGAGCCATTCTAATAATCCACTAGACATACAAAGTTTCTTGAACTTCCCCATTCCACCTTCCCCATCGCCCAATTTCCCCCAACTGACTTTACCATTGTTTATGACCTTGTCATCATAAAATCAATTGGTGTGAAAGCTCTGCGAAGGGCTGGCTAGAGGTGACTGGAGTTGACTTGCGTCTGTTTCCAGCGGGTGTCTCATCATATGGCTGCCCTTTGGCATGAGGTTTAACCTGAGTCTTGTGTCCTCATCTACACAATGACAATTCTAACACCATCTCTGCAGGGAAGACGGAGGATGAGGTACGTATGGTGCTTACAGCACTGTTAGAGCAGGCCTTCCACAGCACTGGCCTCAATTTTTTTGCTGATCTTTGTAAAAAAGCAAGGACTACATTGAGGATGAACTGATTTACATCATAATAGCCATTAATCATTAACAACAAGAAACTATGCACCCATAGTAACTTACACAATCTGTCTTTCATTTGATGAAAAAAATACATTTCAAATATGCCTAACAACTTAATTGGTAATTTAACAATTGAAATTGTAACCAATCATGGCCTCTTGAGCTTCATTATAAATGTGTATTACATCTTCAAAAAATAGAATCATACTTTCTTCCTGAGTTTAGGAGTATTTTATTTTTAGAGAGGGGAATATCCCTATATCTCTCCTTCCAGGAGCCTATCGGTTTTTGGGAATAAGAAGAATAAAATAACTAGAATCCCAGCTGCTTTCCCCAGGGAATGCCCTCTCCTCTTCTTCTTTTTAAAAAGCAGCAAGCAAGGTCAAAAGTCTGGCATTTAGCCTTCGAGGTGGGTCTCATTACTGTGGCTCTCCCTGGCTCCTGAGGAAACCTTGCTCAAGGTCAGTGGGGACGGCTTGGAGGAGCCGCACCTGACCGAGCTAGTGGAACCTGAGCACTGAGTCACCCGCCTGGCAAAGAGCTGATCTGGGGAAAGACAGAAGTCAGAGATGCTGGAGGGAAAGGTTAGATGAGTCATGGACAAGGAACAAACCACTCTCTGTGGAGGACCAGCTTTAGGAAACACTGAAATGGAAAAAAAAAAGGTGTTTGTGGAAAACTAGCTCGTATTTTTGGTCAGGATCATTTAACACACATGAAAATGTGCACAGACTGTTTTTGCTCCAATTTCTCAAAAACCTAAAACTCACACTTCACTTAAAAGAACAAAACTCTATCCTAAGGAAATTTTGAAAAAGGAAACTTTCCAAGAGAAGCAGACTCTATCAATTACTTAAGTTGGATTACGATAACAAGAAACCAAAAACAAAAGGAACATTGTAACTTATTTCCTGAAATTGCAATCACGTGAATAATGCACAAACTGGTGATTGTGTATTCCTTTAAAGATAACTTATGCGTGTTACACAGGAGGTTTCGTGTTTGAAGTCACTTTCTGCCTTCATTTTCTTGTTTGGTTTCCTGAAACAAGGCAGCACTTTTAAAGAAGACCCACCTTGTACTTGAAAAACTAACATTAAATGCATCTATTAAGGAGTAGTGAAAAGTGGTAATTACAGTAGTAATTATGAGGCTTTACCATCTTCATAAAGCTACTTATGTGTAACTTAAGAGCTCAGAACAATTTTAATGAACCTTAAGTATAAAAATAGCCCAAAACAGTTGAAAATATTTGAATAAGACAAAAAATATGCTTTTCAACATCTATGTATTTCAATGATCTTTAGAGCACTGTTTGTAATGTTTCTATTATGTTTATAGGAAAACGTGTAAAAACAACTTTAAGTAACTTGCACACAGTGACCTGAAATTATGAGAATTAGAAACAGAGGCCAAGAGTGAATGTCTGCAACCCAGAGAGACATTGTACTAATGAGTTACATGGTTGAATCCTTTCTCATTTCCTGATGTGAGACCTCACTAAATCATAATAATGACAAATATGGACAAACTCAAGATGGTTATGCCTGTGAAGGTAACTGTCTTTTCCAGATAGCTGGTCTGGGAAGGAGAGGGGGTGGGGGCCTGCTCCTCTCATGTTTCAGTGCTGGACCTGGCTCGTCCCTGTCATCTGCCATGGAACCTTCCTCTAACCCCAGCTAGCTCACTGTAATTCTTTGGCATATAGGTAACTGAGGCTTAGAGTAGTTAAGTCCACCTGCAGGGTAAGCAGGGCACCTAAAGTTATGCCCGTATCTCCTTGACCCTAGCACTAGGGTTGCAAATTCACCTGCTGTCCAGAGCCAGCTGGGTGAGCATTAACACAGTGGCTGTATGTGAGGGAGCCGGAGTGTGGCAATCATGGAAGGGACCGGCAGGCCCCTGCTGCTGTGCACTTTATTTTAAAGTCCCATGTCCAAGAAAACCCTTCTCTTGTGGACATACCGGGATGGGTGGGCTCCCAGAACGACACAGAGTGGTTAACACAGGCCCATTGGAGGCCTCCCTTTTAAATCCATCTGTGCTCAGGTGCAATTCTGCAAGCTTGGGGCTGGGGATAGGAGACACTGAGTTCCTTCCAGCCAGCAGGAGCCCAAGCCTTTCACATCTAAACTTTTTATATTTGGGGTAGGAAGATAAGGCAATAAGGTGATGCACGATAGAGTTGGGGTATATCACCATGGAGTGTTTTGGCTCTTTCTTTAATCCCTTTCTTTCTACAGATTGCAGGACTCCACCTGGCAGAGGAGGATTCTTATTGGTCTGCCTGTTAGATTTCAAGGTTCCCAGGATGCAGTAACATAATGCTACAGTAATGACCTATAAAATGCCTGGCATACTAAATGGGCAATACCACCTTGCATATATGCAGGAAAGAAGGCTCGAGAAATGCTGTCAATCAAATCAAAGCACGTGGTCAGTCAGGAACATGGGTGCTGAGGTTAAGACTTTGAGTTCTCAGGAAGGTTGATCTGTGTCATTCCCTGCATCACTGCAGACAGGAGCTACTGAGACAGGAGCTCAATTTCCTACACATTCCCAATCGTTCCCAAGCTCCTCATCTGGTGACGCTGAGCTCTCAGCCCCTCTGTAAGGAGGAACCATCTGGGCCTTGATCACTGTTCCTCCATTTGTTCAGCTCCGTCCTGGAAAGGTGAGGCGCTTCCAGAGCTTTGGAGGCCACGAAGGAATTCTGGGAGCAGTGTGGGCAGAGGACAAAGTACTGGGCAGTGTCCTCCATGGAGTACACACATCCCTAGGTTGGCTAGTGGCCTCCCAACTCCTGCCCCACCCTGTTGATTTGTCCCTTGGCTGGCATTTAGGTTCTGCCCTCTTGACCTAGCCTCCCTTAGGAGGTCATCCTGCAAAGCTCTCTCTCCCCCAAACTCTCAGGGCACCTCCTTCTGGCCCCACACTCTTTGGACTGTCAGAAAACACCACCTCATTCTCCAAACACAGACTATGTATTTCTCACTGGAGTATAAAGACGTTCATTTTTAAATACTGTCTTCAAATCCAGGTATTGTGAATACTTGATTACTGATTACTGACAAATATAATACAGCCTTTGAGAAATCATAACTAGTAGCAAACATGTAAGATGTATTATGGAAACCCTTGGAAACGCAAATTACAGTAGCTGTTATTTGGGGCCTGGCAAGGACCTCAAGGCAGGGAACTCTTTTTTGCCAGACAACAAAATATCTGAAACTTCAGTCTCTTTGTGTTAATGTAATAATGACACAGGTTTTCAGAGAGAATCAATACCTTCTGTTCAGATATTGATCAAAGCAAAGCAATATACTTACTTGGAAGAGGAATCAGTATTTTGTGGATGGTAGGCAGAAGTCACAGGGGATCCTCCCTATCTTAAAGTACTCTCTGCAGTATGAAATATCTAAAAACAGAGCAAAAAAAGATTGCTATTGCTTTTTTGTTTGACACAAATAGGCAGGCTATTAAATATATATAGCAACAGAAAAGGGTAATTCTTTTAAATACTGGCCAATAAATTTAGAAAATGGATAACAAACATGTAAGTAAACCAAAATATGGCAGTTTTTACAGAAGCTAAGTGTTTTGTCATGTTGACTGTTTTTTATTTTTAAGGAGACATTTAACCATAGACAGAATTACAAAGAAAACAGAATATGAACATCAAATTGTGAGAAGTCACATAAATAAGGATTTATAGGACATCATCTCATTTTTGAAACTGCTACTGTGCACATCACGAGTCTTGGTCTACCAGAGGAATGGGGCGCTAAGAGTTTCAAAGGGCCTTCAGGTACACAATCCCATTTCCAAATAGGAAACAGAAGCCCACTCAGCGTAAGGGGCTCAGCACAAAGCACTCTCAGCTGGCTTGGGTAAAGCCCCTGATGGCCACAGGAGCAGTCTTTGCCAGCCAGCACTGTCACACCCTCTTGCTGGTGGTCATTCATTCATTCTCAGGTACTGATGGAGCACTTTCTATAAACTAAGTTTTGCTCTATGCTCTGGGGGTGAAGATCAAAATCTCTGACCTCAGAGTTTACATTCCAGAGAGGGGAGACTAAACACAGTAGATACTATCTCAGAATGTTCCACTGGCATGGCCTTTGGAGAGCTATGAGCAAACTCCTGAAGGCAGTGAGGGAGAAAGCCACATGTCTGTTCAGAAAAGCGCATTCCAGGCAAAGGGGGCAGCCAGGGCCCTGAGGCAGAAAGAGCACAGCTAGCAGTGTGGCTGGAGCAAGAGGTCCTGGCAGAGGGGGCACAGAAGTGGCAGTGGATGAATCAATCAATGGAGAGCAGGTGACAGGGAAGCTGATAAAGGGCAGAACCTAGGAGATCTACTTAAAGGGGGGTAGAAAAGGAGGCACCTGGGAAGGAACATCAGAGACAGGAGGGAAGCAGAAGGGAGCAGCTTCCCAGAGGCCAGCAGGGTGGGAGCGCTGCCAGCTTCAGCCATCAGCTTTGCAGGGGCAGGGTAAGGACCATAGGGAAATAAGGAAAGGCTGCTTTTCTCATGGGCTATGAAAAAGTAAGTGTGGAGGCCTCACTAGGGGAAAACCCTACAACATTAGGAGGGGTAGCTGATTGCAGGCCCCAGAGTATGGGAAACACAGGATGTTTTCATGTAGACATTTTACTGGTGGCAAGACCTACTGCCAACATGTGACCCTTAAAGTAGACTTTTCTTCCACATTTGGCAATATTTAAAATACGTCTAAACTCAAGTAAATGTATAAGGAAAAGCAGAAGGCTTAACCATAGTAAGGTTAAAGATAAATGTTACAATCCAAGCACACATTTTACAGCTTGTCTTTAATGAGCATGTACAAAATAAATAATTTAAACAGTGAATTAACTAAATAAGACAGTCAACAGCCATCCAAAAGCAAATGGTAATGCCTGGCAATGCAACAGTTCCAAAAGTAGTCAGTAGATTACTTAAGAGTCTCACAGTAATGGAAGTATTTTGTGTAAAGTATGCTTTAGGATGTATTTTTAAATTACTGGATATATTTTTGAAAATTTTTCAAATCTTATTTGATATAAATCATTTAAAATAAAAACACTTCCATGCAATAATCCAGTGTATATTCTGAGAAGGGTTAGGAGTAAGAGGAAAAGAAATGATAGTTTATGTTTATAACATTTATTACAGATCACAAATAGTACAGAATACTGTGAAACAAAGTCAATATAAAATATGAAGCATATCTAGGGTCCACGCCAATGCCTACTTAAATGACAGCAATGGATGTGGGGCAGGATGGGTGGAAATAGTTCCGGATCAGGCACTGCTGTCTCTCTTCTCCTGAGGCCCCACCTCTTCCCACCCCCATTCTACAGAACTGTTCAGTCCCCACCTTAGTGTAACTGTGTTAAATGCCTCTGTTCTGCACCTTGCTCCTGCTATTATAATTTATTCCACTTTCTGTCCTCCTCAGCGGGCCACTGCTCATAGAGAGGGCTATGCCTTCTATCTTTCTCTCACTAAGTCTTGGACAGACTCTAACACATGCTTGATGCTAATAATTATAGAAAAAAATCATGAAAGGAAAACTATATACACTTAGATGAGAAGCCTGATGTCTCTTCATAGTATTTTTCCAACCCAGGCAAACTGTGGAGGGTCAACCCTGTAACAGGTCTCAATTGCTGATGACAGGCATCTCTCAGTTCTTGCGGTATCACAGTGTCCAGCCAGGAAGAAACCTATTGGTGCTACCCTGCAACTCTCACAGCTCATAGCATGGGCTGCCCATTGCTCCTCCTTTTTATGGTTATTTTTAGGCCTTGTTCAGCCCAGATGCTTCATGGCACATCGTGTTTTACATGAATAACATGTTAGATGGTAATAAGGATCATGGAAAAGGCAAAGTCATTTTTTTTTTGTTCAAAACCGAATACCATTTTTCCAGCTGTGATTATAAACCCCTGCAAGAAAATGTTAGAAAGTATCACTTATAACACTTTATTTTAAAATACTGTATTTTTTGTACTCTTGTTGATGCTAATAGAACTAATTTTGATTAATCAGACATCACTCTCCCATCAGTAAACAGCTATGGAATTATAAGGAGGGGAGAGAAAAGATATAAGGTGTCCATGAAAATTATTTTTACTTTCTTATCTCAGAAATACATAAAGATTCCCTTTACCATAAGTTTAAAGGAAAAGTTAAAGATGTGATTCATGTGAAGATGAAAGTGCAGATTCTGTTACTTTTCAAAAACATCAATAATTTTTAGTGATGTTAGAAAAATACCCTTTTAGTATTTTAAAAGGCCCTTTGGGATATCACAGTGCATTACACAATATACATGCACTTATATTTAAGTTGCATTCTAGAGAAATTATTTCTAGACACAGAAAGTCTTTAAGATCCAGTCTTTAAGAATCTATATCATTTAGAGATGCTTCCCACAGCTTTCCACAGCACACGATTAATGGGGCTAAGAGTCATCAAATGGGGTTTACAATGTTTACGTTTGACAACAGTAACGTACTTGTAAGGCAGCCTACCCCGTGCAAATTCTCCAAGACCAAGGTAATTTAGGAAATAGTGCAGGAGATTAAGAAGAGACGGAGAGACAATTACAGAATTGTCTTTCCAGTTGCTTCATCTTCCCCAAATGAGCGTCCAACCCTAACTGTTGGTATGCAGGTTATTTTCCACGTCCGCAGCAAAGAAGGAAGGAGTGAAACAGGAGAACAAGGTCTAGACGTGCAAAGAGCAAAATCGCTGTAACTAAAACTGCGCTCTCGCTGCAACTACGCAACCTTCTGAAATCTGAGCGAGCCCTGCTTTGTATCAAGGGAGCCCACATTGGAAGTAAGTGCTCTCCGGAGACAGACCCTTCATGTGCATTTCACCACACATGGTCTCTCAACACCGAAAACACTGCAGATTTCTTAAAGTCATAGAGACACTGCCTTACAAAGAATGGCTCAAACTTTCTTAGTATAGGTGATCCTGTATTACAATAAATGACATACTTTCATAATATTCCATCTTTTTTTCCTAAAACTGTTATTTGAGAGAAATACTATATTGGATGGTTCATTACACATCAGGGTGGACTAGGGATCTGGGTGGAGGGAGTGAAGCACAGTCAGTATCCTAAAGTTTCCATCTTCCAAAGAATATACTGGACCCCTTTAACTAGATTAAAATTTTCAATCAAAGTGGCTATTTTAACTAAATTCATAAAAGGCAACATTTGGCTTTTCAGGAACAGGGAAATAATTCCTGACAGCTTTCAGATATCAGCAGTGCTCTCCACTGACACTAGACGCATGGTGGCAGCCAGCCAGCCTTGTGACTGGTGACTTAATACACAAGTTTCCGTGGTCTACACAGTCTGATACTGCAAAGGCATCAATTTTTAAGTTTGGGGACTCAGTGGAAGCAGGGGGCTGTTCTGATATGAAGCACAACTCTAGTGAGAGGGTATACACTGGGAAGCAAAAACTCACACTGCATCTCTTCGGGTTTCTTTAAGCTCAGCCTTGGCAGTTTGGAATTTTTCCTTCAGCATATACCCACTTTAATACATAATTTAATATTATTTATTGCTCAGTTTGGAAAATAATCCAGGCAATCATTAACAGAAATTTAAAAAATGTTGTCAAATGTTAATCAAAGCGGTAAGAGCCCCACCTTCCTGTGATTTCCTTTCAACTCCAAAAGCAATGTGCCTGTTAAACAAAGCCCCAAGTCAAAAATTCTTTTTGGTGCAGCTCAGTACACGCCTCTAGATATTTCTGGCAGAATGGGATATGTGAACCTTCTCCATGTTAAAAAGGCTTACTGAAAACTACAAAAGGTGGAACAAAGAAAGCCACCCAAAATGAAGGCTGCACACATCTTTAAAGAAACAATAGCACATTACTTCTGCTAAGACCCTATGGCGACATCAGAAGCGCTGCCCCGTCCTCATTAAAGTGTGTTCTATTGAACTCTGAGATTGCTTATTATTCAGGAGAGTCTGGGCTCAATGCAAACAAAGTCAACCGGGTGCTGAAACGCATGCACCTCGAAAGACGCCTAAACTGATGCAACATCAGGCTTTCCAAAACAGAAGAGAACCAATAAGAATCACTCCCCAGCACATGCACGCTTGAATACAGGTAAAAACAACATTCTTCATAAATAGGGGAGCTGTTTACCAGCCAAGCCTTCTCCATAATATACATTAGTACCCAATGCTGGGATATGCACAATATTAACAAAAGCAAAATGAAATTAAACAGATGACATGATGAGCATGCTTCTCTTTCATGCATGGCCATGTTTTTCCTGCAAGATAAAGGTTCAAAGTAATTACCATAAACTGAAACTTCTTCACTGATATCTGGCAGCCGGCAGCTGCCAATGCTCTACACAAAGACGAAACGCCTTCT